TCAGAAACGATAATAATCAATAATAATATAACCATAATGCTTTAGTATGAAGTTTTCTAAATCAAAGAAAATCGATCTTACAATTACCTATTAGTCACCGAATGGGAAAATGACTCTCTACAGAGAGGCCTTCACTGTCTTTTTCCCTTATATTCTTATTTATTGTATATAATATAATATACTATTTTCCCTTATATTAATTGTGTTCTGTCGTAAAGGCACATTGATTGAATCGCACTCACAACCTAACCGAAGTCCGAATATGAATATTAAATCCATGAGTATTATATATTAAGTACATAATTATTAACAATTCAATTAAAAATATTTTTATAACCAAAACTTCGATATTTGTTTTGTTTATAAACTTAAGCAAAAAAGATGGGCTTTAAAGCACGGAGAAGCACTAAAGTGTGTTGCTGTTGCACAATGTGTTGTTGTTGTTGTTGTATGTACGGTATAGAAGATAATAAACACAAAAAGGTCAGCTTTACATAGGGTTACCAGATGGAAAAATTAAAAGTGCTGACAAATAACCTGATTTCAATTGAAAAATCCTGACATTATGTTGCAAACATTAACAATCGTGAAAAAAAATTAATCCCTCCCATGCAAAAGCTACTGTATTTACTGAAAAATCGAAAAGCCTGACATTTCCTAAATCCGACCGCAATCCTGACAACAGTCCAAAAGTCCTGATATGTCAGGACAAATCCTGACATATGGTATCCCTAGCCATAGACATGTTTGAGGTTGATAATTGATATAATAAAAATAAATTATATAAAGACAATACTCTTGAAACTTCTTGCCGCGTTTTTTATCATAAATTCAAAAATTTTAACAGCAAATGCGATCATGTCATTATTTGTATAAAGATTCAACGAGTTAACTAACACCTTCATGTAAATATAGTATATATATTTGATAAATTGTCTTTAATTTTTCTTTAAAGTAGGTAGGTACGAAGAAAGAAATTTACTCTCGCCGATCTAATATTTATAGTGGCATTATCATAGGTATGGGTTAATAACTACTGTATTAGTATAAAAGTTATTAATTAATAAGTAGTTACTCTAGTCCATAGTCACATTAGGTACCTATTCACCGATGAAGAGCTAAAATACATGCGTCTCAAAATTAATCATTCCCAGGAAATTTTAGGAATAAAGGGCTTTAATCAGATAGGTATATCTCCATCTTCTTCGTTACATGACATGTCCGTGGGACGAAATGGAGTGAAGGATTATTTTACGCCGCCACCACTAAATACAATCAAGTAAAGACTATCAATTAACGGGCCATAAATAAAAAATAGTCAGTGGACATTACGTACTATTATCTATTCGGAGACACTGCTTTATAGTACCTAACTAGGTATACATCTTTAACTATAATATAACAAATTGTCAATAGAATAATCTAATCTACATTTCGATTTTTTTTATAACTTACAGTATTCAAAGATTCGACAACTAGGTACTTGGTTAAAGAATTTAGCGCTGTTTTCTATACTTCTAATAACATTGCATGGTGTTGTTCTCCATACACACATCTAAATCTATCGGCTATACACGCTCGTCTCGTCGCTCTCGTGCCTCTCATCGCGTAGAGGCTCATCACGAGAACACACCATGTACAGTGTACACACTCGTATCACTTGTATTCCGGATGCCCGCTGCGATGGACCTGTGACCTAATGAAACTGTTGCTGTGTTTTGCCTTTGTGCTATTAGTTATTACATTTTATTACACATTTATCATTAAAAGAAAATTAATAAGAAATGATGAAGAAAAAGATAGTGAATGGTAGGAGAACCATGTAAATACCTATATTTTTATTTAACAATATTGAACCCTAAAGTACATGTGTACAGGCGCGCTATCGTTGTCTTCACGAGACTCTCGAGATTCTTTGACTCGAAAGCAAAATACCGACACGCTTCCGAGAGCAAACGAAGGCCGCGAGACGCGATGCGATGCGACGAGGGCACCATGTACACACTCGTACTCGGCCTGACTCGTGGTCCACGAGTCGTGGAGTCTCGACGAGGGTGTACAGCCGCCATAAGAGATATTGGAAGAAGTGCATAGATGTGAAGAAAGTTCGCCGAATTTCCCCTTCTTCATCAGCCCCTAAAAGTCCACGGCTGAACATGAACCTCTTCTGTTGTAGGGAGATCGTTAAGTTTGTCGTTTGTTTTTAAGCATCCATCCGCCTTGGAGATGTACTAATGGTTTCTCTTACTCTCACGGAACGAGTTTTCACTTCGTGTTGTGTTTTTTTTTATAAATAAGGAAACAAGAAAGTAAATCTTCTAAAATTTCGATCCTTTATCTTTTACACGATTGATTTTGGAAGAAACCAACATCGGTCAAGAAAACTCCCTTCGTCGAGTTTTTTTGTAATTTTGAATCGAAAGGAGATGAAATAGATCATAATAAATATTAATTAATATAAATAATTAAAGCTGTCATGACGACTAAACTGTGCGACCGGTAGACCTTTTTTCTTCTTCTTTATTGGCTCGTAAGGGTCCATTACTTCACATGGACCTTTGTAGGGAGGTAATACTTAGCAGGTGAATTGAATATCTCAGCGCCTGACGTCTCAAACTTTTGACTTTAGGAATAAGAACTATTTGGATTCAAAATATTAGTGCGCAACAAAAACATAAGCGGTATCTATTGGCGAAGATTTATACTTCAGATATTTGATGGATCAGAGATATATGGATGTATTACCTAAATGGAGAGACATATAATATTGGCTCCTGATTTATTTGGTTTAGATTTCACAACAGATTTAGCAACTCTCACTAATAAACTTCCATCGTCATTTATAAACACAGATAAATTTATTATAAATAAAAGTAAATTATATACAATATTACATACTATAATAATAATTTAAAAAAAAAACTAAAACTAGAAACTTAATTATCATATAGTCCTACTACATATAATATTGAGTTATTTCATTAATTTGTTCCTTTTTATTCTCTAAATTCTATGAAAGACTAAGAATCCTTGTTTTTAAAATTATTATTTTTTATGGATGGAAGAGTAGTCAACCACTAGAGGCAATACCTGATGAGGATGAGGATGGTATTTCGACTTCTGTCAAAGTGTGTTATGGTGGAATTCAGCAGCTGGAATAAATACGACCGATTCCTCTGAGCACTCCTCGTGGTATATTTGGTAGAAAATCCACAGAGATGCAACGTCTCTTTGCAAGGCTAGTGGATCAAGCCGATAGGAAAGTACTTGGTCGTCTACGATTCGGGCCGCTCTTCGTTGAATAGTCAAATGGAAAGAACTGATACTGGGGTGTCTCGGCCCAGAGCTGAGAATATATATAGTAGAGCCACCCTGCAACTATATTATGGTGGTAGGACGAATGTGTCGGCTCGACCAGGATAGATCCACACTCTCACAGTACTCTGTGACTCAGCATGAAATAGCAGCTTAATACTGCTGTGTTTGGTATGGTGTTTGATATATGATTATTATATTCCACAAGGCTGCGTGCTATCGCCAATGCTGTTTTTTCTGTGTATCAATGATATGTTCCAAACCGGTAACATTAATTGCTATGCGGATGACAGCACTGGTGATGCTCTATACACCGGCTGTGCCAATATTTCTCGGGAAAACGTCGCCGAGTACGGGAACAAACTTGTCTGAAGTCAAGTCTTGCTGAACAAAGTCTCGGATTGGGGGCGACTAAATCTAGTCCAGTTTAATCCTCAAAAGACATAAGTTTTACGCGTTTACCGCTAAAAAGAACCCCTTTGTAGTATCTCCTCAGTTTCATGGCACTCCCCTAGTTGCCCCAGCCAGTGTCGGAATCCTCGGCGTCTACATATCGAGTGACGTGCAGTTTTGTGGTCACTTGGAAGAGAAGGCCAAGTTGACCTCTAAAAAGCTTGTCGTGCTCAGCAGAGCAGGACAGTATTTCATGCCGGCACACCGCCTGCAACTTTACAAGTCGCAGGTTCAGCCTCACATGGAATACTGTTCCCATCTCTGGGCTGGGGCACTCCAGTGCCAGCTCCTTCCACTTGACCGCATCCGGCGCAGAGCGGCTCGAATCGTCGACGACAGAGTCCTTTCAGCTCGATTCACTGGCGCTACGAAGAGATGTTGCATTCCTTTGCGTATTTTATCGCATTTACCACTGGGAGTGATCTGAAGAATTGTTTAGATTAATTCCAGCCGCTCAATTTCACAATCGCACATCGCGACAAAACTCACGATACCATCCATACAATCTGGATGATTGGCGCTCCACCACTGTGCTTTATAGAAGATGTTTTCTTTCTCACATAACTTCCTTGTGGAATCAATTACCACCAGCGTTTGTTTTTCCAGACCAATACGATTTAGGGACTTTCAAGAAAAAGGCTTACTCCTTTTTAAAAGGCCGGCAATGCATGTGCAATTAACCTGGTGTTGCAGTTGTTCATGAGCGGCGGCAGTCACTTACCATCAGGTGAGCCGCATGCTCGTTTGCCCCCTCTCCTATAAAAAAAAGATGACTGTAGAGAACCAGAAACCCTATTAACTGGAAATGAGGCATTCAATTTTAGTCCTCAAGCGTTACAATGTATCTGCATTTTGATTCTCAATTAAGGATAAATGTGGACGTCTATAGGTGCACAACATCCACTTACCATCAGGTGGACTGTGTGCCCGTTTGTCAATTTAATTCTGTAAAATAAAATAAAATAATGGGAATAATATTAAAAATAAACACATTAATCTCTAGCACATTTATTGGAATATAAATAATTGTTATAATTATACACATCACTATTTTATATAGCACAATACCTATTGTACAATTAAATTGGCAGCTTCGTGCAAATAACATATTTTATCATTCTGGGAATTGCTCAAGTTCTGTCTAGATACAAATGTTTACAATTTTATGCCCAATAATAATATCATCATAAAACATGGCAATCTACAAGCAACAGAAGTGTTAATCAGATCAATCAAGTATCATAAATATCTGTAATGAGACCAGCTGCTATAGTGACTCCAGCAACTCTTAACATAACCCTTCCTAGCTCTTTGACATCCTTGTATCTCTCAATGCAAATTGGTCGGCAAACTTCTATATCAACAACTGCCACTGAATTATTACCCAAGCACCTTGGTTTCTTCTTTAATATTTCTCCAGTACTCTTATTTAATAAAGCTTTCAATTTCACTATATTTGCGGACTCAACTAAGGACTGATGATGTATGAGAATAGGATAACCCTTCGTAATAGGCACCTTTACATTAAACACTACTAACCTAGCCTCAAAGCGAGAACTGACTGGTACTTGTTGCACAGGGTCACTTAACACATTACCAACAGAAACATTCTGCATATCTACACCTGAAAGAGTCACACTGACCTGGTCCCCAGCAAAAGCTACATTACTGGCCAGATCATTAATACTTATACCCTTAACTTCAGCCAATTCTTTGATAGGGCAAACCAAAACTTTATCACCTTTGTTTAAAATTCCATTTTCTATACGACCAGCAACACAAAATCCTGTACCAGTGCTCTTAAATATATCATTTATGGACATACGCAGAGGCTTAGAAACAGGCCGAACAGGCACATTGCACCGATCGATAACATCTAGAAGACACGGACCTTTGTACCATTTGCATAGCTCTAACTCATTTGGTGGTTTTACCAAATTTTCACCAGTTAAACCTGAACAAGGTACATAGGTTATATCAGAGTCCTTAAATCCAGCTTGTTTTAAGAATATCTTTAATTTCGTCACTATTTCATTAAACCTATCCTCTGACCAGTTAGTTGTGTCAAGTTTATTAACGGCAACAGCAAGTTGACTTATGCCAAGAGATCTAACAAGTAATGCATGCTCCCTGGTTTGACCACCAAGTTCAAAACCTGACTCAAACTCTCCTCGTGTTGCATCTACAACTAATAAAGCAACATCAGCCTGACCTGCACCAGTTATCATGTTAGGTATAAAATCAGCGTGACCTGGTGCATCAAGAATTATAACTTTTTTTGTCTTCGTTTCAAACTGTGCCCGTCCTACATCCATAGTAATCCCTCTAACTCTCTCTTCTCCAGTTTCATCTAATACCCATGCATACATGAAACTTTGTTTACCAATCTTTTTACTTTCTTGTTCATATTTATGTAAAGTCCTCTGACTCACTTCACCCAATTCACAAAGAAGTCGACCCATAAGAGTAGATTTTCCTGCATCTACATGTCCTATTACAACTATATATAAATGATCTTTGTCAGATCCCCTTTCATTAGAATATTGCTTATTAGGATCATTTTTTTCTTTAACTTTGCTTGGTGCTTGATTAGATTTTTCTGTAGTAGGTGATTGATCTCTTGGTGTTTGTGGTCGGCTTCCTGAGCTGCCATCTTGTTCCACTTTGAAGCCTTTAATAACACCAACAGTTGTGGGTTCGTTGTTAGTTGCAATCACTTTAGGGGTTTTGTCAACATTTATTACAGTTTTAGCTGGCTCAATGCGAACTAATGGAGGAGCTCTCGATTGCTCCTTAATTTTCTCAGTCTGTTTTGGTTTATTTTTATCATTACTTAATAGTGCATCTAAAGCCTTGTTAAAATCAAATTTATGACTTAGGACTGTTTGAATAAGCATATTTTCTGACACAGTATCACCCAAAATATTTCGCAACTCATCCAAACAGGATAAAAGTTTTGCTTCATCTGCTTCAGTTAGAGAGAGACAACGTAAATCTGATGATTGACGGCGATCCAGTTCCGGGCGACTCGGTTCAGTAAGAGGCTCTTCCTCGGTCTCTTCTTGGATATCATTATGGTTTTCTAAAAAACTCGAAATCGCCTGGTGATTACGCGAACGATCATACATCCATTGCGATGTATCACTTGGTGACAAACAGTTGTCTTCTTCAACTGAATGTCCATAAACGTCATCATAGTCGTAATCGTCCGAGTAACTTCTGTTTCTAACATTTCGGTGTCTTGCCATTTTAGTGACTGATCATCGCACATTAAATTCAATATAAATACATAGTTACAAAGTACGACTGAAATATTATGGAAAATCTACACGTTTCTCCAAATTTCGATTAACTTTTGACAGCAGCAGTCAGCGTTGAGTTGACATAGTTGACAGTTGACAGCTGGGCTTGGTAAAAAATATCGATATATTGAAATATCCGTATTATATTACAAATGATCAATGTACATCGTCGATTTTAATCGCGCTTTACCAATATTTGATGTTTATTTTAGACCTTAGAGTATCGAATTCGTATCAATTTATATATTTGATAACCGATCCTAAACCAATACATTTTAGAACGCTTTGCATGTTTTTTTTTAAATTTATTTATCAGATCAAAAGAAAAGAATACATATATAGGTATAATTAACATCTAAAAACCATGGAGGTTTGACTTGATGCTAAATAATTAAGTTTAAGTCAGCATAATATTATGTGCAAGACACAGTCTAATTAAGTAGTTAAGTATGTGAGTAGGTAATGGATATAGTAAGAATAATATAAAGACTAAGAAGGTAAAAGTAAGAACTAGGCAGGTAGGTATGTTATTGTTAAGTAAGTAGATATAGTATGTAATTATAATTTAGATATGAAAAAGCTTTTGAGTTTAGTTTTAATGGTTTTTGTGAAATTTTTTGGCGTAAATCAAAAGGTAAGTTATTAATTAAATGCCGTACCTAATAAGCGGCCGTCCGCTGCCCGTACACATTATTAGCAGTGATGTACCGGAGCCGTTTTTGTGTCATATGTTCCTTGCGCATCGTTTATTTTAAAACACACAACAAAATCTTCATCAAATCGAATATCACAGTAAAACAAAAGAAAATAAATGCTTTTATTTTGTCTATCATCTATGCTTAAAATTAAAGACTGCATTAGATTCAAAATTTATTTAATCAGTTTCACTGCAACTAGTTGAGTTGTTATCGTCATCATCGTTGTTTACTTTAATTTTAATGGAGAAGTTTCATGATGTTGTTAATATTATATTCAACGTAATGGTATTAAAATATAGACCAAAACTAATCGATCACTGAAAATATTTTTTTTTATCCAGCAATAAATGACTTAGAAGTAGATTATTGAAGTTTACGTATTTTAGTACGGAACGTCTGTGGTTTCTGATTCGCCTGTGACCTCATTGGACCTATCTGAGATCGCCGCATCACGAATCATTCAAGTAATTACTTCTTGTACTATTATTTATTCTGTGCGCCAGAGCTCTTGCTTCGTTTGGGTTTATTTACGCATAGTCGTGTTTCTTTTTTATTTATGAGTGTGTAGTTTTTATTTCATTATAATGGAAGAAAGCTTTGTCTAAGGACAATGTGATAATTTGCCTAATATTGTTATATACACATTAATGGACTATTTTCTTTAAATCTGTCCTATGTTAGGGCTGAAATAAAAGGAGTTAAACTTTTTAAGTAAATATATATACTTTTAAGTTTATTTTAACAGCCACATTTTTGTTTTAAATAAAAATGTTAATCTTTTTAATCGCCGTAGAAAATTAGTATGATAAAAAATTCATTTCTTCTTGAAAAATTATTGATTTTAATTAAAATTGAAAAAATATTATAAAATCTAATTATTAATAACCAGTGTTGTCACCTTTTACATTAATTACACATCGACATCGATTGTTCATACTTAAAATGAAATAGTCAATGTCTTGCTGCGGTAAGAGGTCCCATGTTCTTTGCAAGTTTTTTTTTAATAGGAGAGGGGGCAAACGAGCATGCGGCTCACCTGATGGTAAGTGACTACCGCCGCCCATGAACAACTGCAACACCAGGGGAATTGCAGATGCGTTGCCGGACTTTTAAAAAGGAGTAGGCTCTTTTCTTGAAGGTACTTAAGTAGTATCGGTCCGGAAAAATCGCTGGTGGTAACCGATTCCATAAGGAAGTTGTACGAGGGAGAAAAATTCTTCTAAATCGCACAGTGGTGGAGCGCTTGTCATCCAGATGGTATGGATGGTATCGCGAGTTTTGTCGCGATGTGCGATGGTGAAATTGAGCGGCTGTAATTAGTCCGAATAATTGCTCAGAGCACTCCCCGTGATAGATGCGATAAAATACGCAAAGAGACGCCACATCTCTATGCAGTGCCAGTGTATCGAGCCGATCAGAAAGAACTCGGTCATCGACGATTCGAACCGCTCTGCGCTGGATGCGGTCAAGTGGAAGGAGCTGGCACTGGGGTGCCCCGGCCCAGAGATGAGAACAGTATCCCATGTGGGGCCGAACTTGCGCTTTGTAAAGTTGCAAGCGATGTGCCGGCATGAAATACTGTCTCGCTCTGCTGAGCACGCCAAGCTTTTTAGAGGCCAATTTGGCCTTCCCTTCCAAGTGACCATGAAACTGCACGTCACTCGATATGTCGACACCGAGAATTCTGACACTGGCTGAGGCAACAAGGGGAGTGCCTTGAAACTGAAGAGATACGACAAAGGGGTTCTTTTTAGCGGTAAACGCGCAAACTTGTGCCTTCTGGGGATTGAACTGGACTAGATTTAGTCGACTCCAGTCTGAGACTTTGTTCAACAAAGTCTCGACTTCAGACACAAGTTTGTTCCGGTACTCGGCGACGTTTTCCCGAGAAATGTTGGCATGGCCGGTGTATAAAGCATCACCAGTGCTGTCGTCCGCATAGCTATGAATGTTACTGGTTTACAACATGTTATTGATATGCAGAAGAAACAGCGTTGGTGATAGCACGCAGCCTTGTGGAACACCAGCGTTAATGGGCTTGTAATCGGAGCATGCACCATCTAATACGACCTTGATGATCTGATCTGCAAGAAAACTGATGATCCAATTGCACAATTTCTCGGGAAGCCCATAGGAAGGCAGCTTCGAAAGAAGTGCTTTGTGCCAAACCCGATCGAAGGCATTTGCTGTCCAAACTAACTATTAGTTAAATCTATTAGCTGGGTAACCCAAAAGATCACCAGCTGAGCGACCTCGATGGAAACCGTTCTGGCGTTCACTAATCAGCTGGTGATCCTCAAGGTACCGCATGAGCTCGCTGTTAATAATGGTTTCCATTACTTTGGAGAACAAGGAGGTGATAGCGATAGGCCTGTAGTTGGACGGATCTGAGCGGTCGCCTTTTTTAGAGATCAGGTGCACAAAAGCTGTCACCACCAAAGCAAAGTGTTCCATGAATGAGTTCTGGACTACGCCTAGGGAGTAGGAGTACCGGAAAGGACGCGTTAAAACCGGTGCCAACTCCGGAACACACGTCTTCAGCACAATAGGTGGGACTCCATCAGGCCCACTCGACTTGTTGACGTCCAAGGAGAGGAGTGCTTTACGCACCGAGCGCTGTGTAAACAGCACATTTGTCATGGTGGCATATTAGGCGTAAGCGTATCACCTTTTCGTTGTAAGGAAGTCATAATATCTGTTTTACATATATATTCTATCGCGCTCGCGGTTTGTTCGGTATCCAAATCAATGATAATAAATATATGATATATATGAATATATGTTTTTACGTTTCGTTTCGAGTAGATGTTAGATTTTCTGCGATGACTCATATCAACACGACACCGCTGGCTGTAAGTACTGCCGTAGCAGCGGTATTGTAAAATAGTAATATCTAATACACAAAATACATACCAAAATCTCCCAAGGGCTGCACAATGTGACGCATCAATATAATATTGTGAAGCAGTGTACTATGGAGGATAATTATACATTGTAACTTCAGACTTAGAAAGGCTAGAACCCAGAGCCGTAAAGCCAGTTATTAAAAAAATCTCACTCATTTGTCACAAAGATTGTTGTTTGTTGTCTACATATTTATCTATCTATGATTGTTGTTCTTATTTTATCACAGATTAAATATTCTGGTGCAGTGCATGTAATAAATTAAAACTATTCCTCACTATTCCTTCTTTCTATTTCTATGGTTCCCTTTTATTAGGTATATCCGTGGTCTTACTACTTTTTCATAAACGACAAATTTTATACTAAGCTTCTCTTGGTAGAGAGTAATTGTGTTCTGTGCAACGCCTACTCACATCTTCGCTTAATATCGACGTATACAAGTAAACAGCCAAAAGTTTGAAGAGTTACAGTTTATCTCAGGCAGAATAAAACAGCAATTAAAAAAAACAAATAGAGCTTTCTCATCTTAAAACCCTTGATTCTCAACATCATGAAGAAAAAGGTATGTATTAAATGTAATGAAATTACGCAGAACAATGATAAACTTAATTCTAATAACTATATAAAAATAACTTTATCAGGTACTTTTGATGGGAAAAAGTGGCTCTGGCAAAACAAGTATGAGATCAATTATTTTTGCTAATTATATAGCGAGAGACACAAGAAGGCTAGGAGCCACAAGTAAGTATATAAAGTCAATCTTTAACCTTATTACAATATTTGAATATTTCACAACTGTTAACTCCAAAGTTGACAATGTTATAATTACTTTGCTTCTTAAAAACTAATAACAAAGTGATATAATTTGTTTAATTCTAAAATACTTGTTAAATTTAGATCATCTTAAAGTCAAAAAGACCTTATGGACTCCTATAGATGGCAGTATACTATGTCATAAGGTATGCTAGCTGTCTAGTAATAAGCTAGCAACAGAGAGCAATGTCAAAGATGCAAGATATATCTGGTACTGTGATCAGTCTGCCAAGTTGACACTCGCTTAGTATATAACATGAATAGGTGAAGTTGATATTTGGGGATTTAGTTTACGTGGTAGAGTCATGCTGAAACTATATTATGGTTGTAGCACAAATGGATCGGGGAAGGACCACACTCTTACAGAATACCTGCATAAAATAGCAGCTTAATGCTGCTGTGTTCCGTATGGTGAGTGTAGAGAACAGAGACCATTTTTACTGGAAATGTGGTATTCCATCTTAGTCTTCAGTTCTTAATCGAGGATTGTTTTAGATGTCTATGAGCCACATCATCCACCTACCAGCAGGTGGAATATGTGCTTGTTTGTCACTCTTATCCTATAAAAAAAATAAGTTCACACTAAGCTATAAAATTTATGGAAGGTCTCTTGCACTGACTTTTTACCCCCCAATACAAAAAGAGGTGGATTATAAGTTTAACCTCTTGTGTGTCTGTCTGTCTGTGTGGCACTGTAGCTCTTACACCGTGAACTGATTTGGGTGTGATTGTTTTTTATTTAAAATTAGGTTTTCTAGCAGTGATTCTTAGACATGTTTTAATAAAATCGGTTCAGGTGTTTCAAGGTCATCAACTATTTTTTTAAATTTTGAATTAGAGTTATCATGTATTATGCTTACTGATACTAAAAAACTAGGATTGTAATAGTAGAATTTATTCAAAATATTTATTAAATGTTTTTTTTTTTACAAAAATAAATATTCTTTTTCAGTTGATGTTGAACATTCCCATGTCAGATTTCTTGGTAACTTGGTGCTTAATCTTTGGGACTGTGGTGGACAAGAAGCATTTATGGAAAATTATTTTGCATCTCAAAGGGACAACATTTTCCGTAATGTTGAAGTTCTTATTTATGTGTTTGATGTTGAAAGTAGGGAAATGGAGAAAGATATGCATTATTATCAATCATGCTTAGAAGCTATATTACAGGTAATATAAAATTCTTACATAACATTACCTTTATTTTACAGACACTAAATAAAAGGTTTCTTAAAATAATTCATAATTAAAAGATTTACAAACCCTATAGCACACCTCAAATGCAAAGCGAGAGAGGTTGGGTTTTACTTTCAATTTGACAAGGTTACTCTATCTACTTTCATTAAATTGGGTATATTATTTTGAAACCTCACTAATGCTTAAAAAAAGCACATTAATAATAATGAATAAAACTGATACTTTTATTTAAGTTTTGAAATACATAACTATAAAAAAGAATGTCCAATGAAAAATTTCTTTTTTAAATTTTGAGTTAACTTAGTTAAACGTTGAAAGAGCTTTTTAATCTAGATCCCCATTTTGTCTTTACAGAACTCTCCTGAAGCCAGAATTTTTTGTTTGGTTCATAAAATGGATCTGGTAGCAGAAGAGAGGCGAGAAGAGATATTTAAGGAAAGAGAAGAGGATTTAAAAGGACTTTCTAAACCACTTGAATGCACATGCTTCAGGACTAGTATATGGGATGAAACTTTATACAAGTAAGTAAAATAAGGTCCTTTAGTGTACCATTAAAGAAGTTATATTCACCTTCTCAGTTATTATAATGTACAAATTAATCCATAAAAACTATATTACCTAACTAGATAAGGTGAAAAGAGAAGGAAGATGACAAATAATATATCTATTTTATTAATTTCTATTAAAACAAAATTTTGTAAAAAGTTATTAGTGCACATTTTATTTTTAACAGATCACTAGGGACTTATTAACAATGTACTGTGTGAAATAACCTTTATAGCCATATCTGTACAATCTGCAAGACGCATTTTGAAGTGTTCATGAAGCTATGCTGAGTAGGATGCTCGACACTATCTAAACACTCCGTGATCACTATAACCTTGCAACTTGAAAATATGTTTTAATGATATTTATAAACTTAGAAAAAAAAAGGCTCGGCTTGTCCAATTTTGTATCTGAACCATCCTGGGTCCCACTCAAACACACAAAAAATTTCATCAGAATTGGTCAAGACAGTTTTAAGTTTTAGCTAGACCAACAGACAGCAATTGATTTTTATATATAGACTAGCTGATCCCCGCGACTACGCCCGCGTGTAATTTAGGTTTTAATTATTTTTTGCGAGGAACCCGAATTCTTTTTCTTAAATAAAATTAGCCTAAGTTACTCCTTATAACATCAGCTGTCTGTCAGTGAAAGTCCCATCAAAATCGGTCCAGCCGTTACGGAGATTAGCCGAAACAAACAGACAGACAAAAATTTAAATAAATGTGTTTTTGTTATAAGTACCGTTTATACTTTCATATACATTAAGTAAAAAGCTGTTATTTTGACATTACAAACAGACACTCCAATTTTATTTATTTGTATAGATATTAGATATACATATATAGATAGGTATCCCGTGGCTTAAATAGACATGGTAGGTACATTATTTTTTTTCTTTCAGGGCGTGGTCGAGTATAGTATACAAATTAATACCCAATGTTAAAGCATTGGAGTCATCATTAAAACAGTTTGCAGCTATTGTTGATGCAGATGAGGTGAGTGTTACGGTATCACTTTTTATGGTGACTTTCTCCTGGCTAAATTAAATTTAATCAAATCAAATACATTTATTGTGGAATTTTGGTTACAAAAGATCTTATTACTTACTAAGTCCATATTGGATGTACAATTTAAAAAAAAAACGATATAATTTCATTCTAGGTAATTAAATTCAATTGTTTCTTTAGTTAATATAATTTCATGATTAATTATATAAATAACATTATCCGTCAAAACAATTTCAATTTATTGATTTTTTTATTTAATTTGTTTTAAATGTGAGTAAATTTAAAATCTTCAAACTATTTGGCAATTTATTGTAAATAATTAGTAAACTACAATACCCTGCCAATAACATTTTACTCATCATGGCAGTATTATGCCCACCAGTTGTTAACTTCAATCTTTATTGCAATCTAACTTTGCCTACAGTCAGCATACTCCCCAGACTAGTCCAGAGACTCCATTTTTTTACAACATACCAAATGCTATGATGGTATTATCCCAACTTTTTATATAGTCAAATTGAAAGTAGAAGGTTCTCAATGCAACTGTATTGTTTTTAATGCAATATCTCCAATACTAGTTACACAATTTTGTTGCTTAATTTTTGCTTTAGAATTTACCCTCAGTTAGTTCATATTTAGAGAATTTGTGGCCTTTTCATGGTCTCTATGAAATTTGTGTAATATTATTCTATACTCGAGTATAGTATAAACCAGGTCTTGTGTGCGTTAACAAAATGTAATCAAAATAATATTATCGTAAAAACATAAGTAATTATTTTTGGTAGGTACTGTTGTTCGAACGAGCAACATTCCTAGTTGTATCGCATTGTCAGCGACGGCAGCATCGTGACGCTCACCGCTTCGAGAAAGTCTCTAACATTGTGAAACAGTTCAAGCTCTCTTGTTCAAAACTTGCCGCTCAGTTTCAGAGTATGGAGGTATGTATTATATTGTTATGTACCTACAATACCTGAGGGTCATTTGAATGTATTCGAATTAGTAAGCCCTATTATATTATAAACTCCAACACTACTAACAAATAAAACTCACATAAACATTTTTGCTCTCAGGTACGAAACAGCGTGTTTGCCGCTTTTATAGACGGCTTCACAAGCAACACATACGTTATGGTGGAGATGTCTGATCCAAAAATCCCCTCTGAAGCAACTCTCATCAATATTCGCAATGCGAGGAAGCACTTCGAGAAGCTGGAGAAAGTATCATCGAGCACGAGTCAGTACCAATGAGATCCAGACAGCCTTGTGTTGAACACGTTAGCCAGTTCTGTAGCGATAAGTGTGCTAAGCACAAGGGTCCTTTTGCCAAAGCAAAATACTCACACAAAGAGTTTACTTTAACATAATAGCTGTGAACATAACAACATTTTTAATATCACTGTATAAAAATAATTTTAACCACACTAGATCTCCTATTCACCATTGAAAGTGACTTTGTTATTATATTGTTTAATTGAATTCAGTAATATACAACATAATATTATTTCATAAAATAATTATATAATATCTAAACCTGTTGATCTATCAGTAACTCAATTTATTTAAAGCATTCTCAGCATTGAAAACAAGTGTAAGTAGCGGCACGAAAGTCTAGCGGTGACCGTTATTGCGCATAAGTCGCGTCGTTGAGTCGCTTATTGCGCATAAGTGGCGCTGATTGGCTCCCCAGTCGCATTCGTGTGCGCCCCCTCTACGTTTCGTTCAGCGCTAGACTTACGTGCGGCGACTTGTATATAGCTGTATCCAATGTAACACTTGTGCACACACAGGTCTGAGACCCAAAAACTAGTAATTTATATCTACAACTAGACTGCAATTCAGTAGTATCGGGGCACAACCATATAAAAGAGAAGAAATAAACTTGATTCCAACAATAACCAAATTGCGATACTGCCGAGTCTCCTTAATCGACAAGTGGGAGTGGGCCGTTTTAATAAAAACATATAGTGCGGACAAAATCTAATTTTTTACATAAAAGTCAATATTTTCTTTAATGAAGCCATTTAACAGTTTTTTTTATATGAATCTATTTTAATTTTTTTAACATGCTTTTCGGAATTTAAAAACTTTGGCATCAGTGCAATACAAGGAATACTTTATCAAATTATACAAGTGGCAGTTGGGTAAAAAATACGAGTTTGTTCTAAATTAAAGTAATTAGTAGTAAGTTAAAAAAATCTTATATCGTAAAAGCAAGACGGTACAAATTTTAGAAAACAAATTCTTTTATAACATGATAATTTGGTATTACTTTTTGGTAATAATAATATAATATTATATAATATATAGCTTTTACGGAAAATATTCTATAACGTATTTGTTTATTAAAAAAAATACAGCATAAAAAGGCATAATTCAATGTATGCATGATAAAAATAGGTTAGGAAAACTACTTTTTTTAAACTGATTTAACTTCGCATTTTTTAATAGAATTAAAGTGACTAACGAGCACACAATCCACCTGATGGTAAGTGAATGCTGTGGTCCATAGACATCTACTTTTAACCACCCTTGAGGACTAATATGTAAAGCCTCATTTCCAGTACAAAGGGTCTCCGGTTCTATACACTCACCATACGAAATACAGCAGCGTTAATAAGCTGCTATTTTACGCTGGTATTCTATGAGAACGTGGTTATACTCCGGTCGAGCCAAATCATTCGTGCTACAATCATAATATAGCTGCTGCAAGGCTCTACCAGCGCACTGCCTACAAGGACGTTGTTATACGCAAAAACTAAATTAAAGACATGTTCCCTTCTGATTCTCTAGAAAAAAGAAAATGTTCTTTCATTCATTTTTTTATTTAAATTTGTTATTTATTTTATGTTCTAGCCGTATTTTGTTTTATTTATCTACTCGTATATATAAATAAAATAATAATGTTAAAAACGCGACATCTCTGTTGTCAGTGAACCCAATCCTATTGTTATCCTGTATCTGCGTAGAGTATCCAAAAAAAACTGTCGTCTGTAATCTGTATATACTATTGTGTAATATTTTTTGAAAATTGCTATGCAGTTGTTAATATATATGTTATATATATAGCTGAATGTTAATAAATAAAAGTAAAGCCACACGGTGCGTTGCGGCTGTGACCTAGTGCCTAGGATAATAAATGTAAATATAGATGTTATGAGTATAATATAGAATTGAGTATATGACGTCATAGTTTCCTATAGCCAAAATCTAATATAACTCAAAATAGAAATCTATCTAATATTGTTTTGTACAAAAAACGTTTAAAAAGGTACTACAACGTCGCTTTTTTAATTGTGCAAGCATCTATGCAGATTGTCTATACTTCACTGAATTGAAGGAGTAGCATAGCTGTAAGCAATTTTACTTCTGGGTTAAGTACATAGTTTCCCTGATTAGTGTTACGTTTGCGTCTACAGTCCATTGCCTTTATAATAATTATTAATGGTTGTAGAGACCCCGTGTGTCCACTACGGATTCTTGTATGTATATTTTTTTTATAACTGGCTTTACGGCTCTGGGTTCTAGCCCTTCTGAGCCTGAAGTTATAATGTATAATTATCCTTCATAGTACACTGCTTCACAATATGTTGATGCGTCACATTGTGCAGTCCTTGGGAGATTTTGACGGCAACTTGAGCCAGCAGACAGCTGACAGTTGGCGATGGTATCTCAAGGCGCCTAAGCAGACACCTTATCTTGAGAATCATATCACCATCAGAGCACTTGTTTCACCGTTTCCACTAATAGTTCACATGCGTAGACACTTAATACACAAAATCACACCACTTTTACATATCAAAGTCCACTTCAAACCATTATTTAAACAATAATACAGGAGCAGCAAACCGCCGGTCAAGTTCCCGCCAAAACTCCCGTTGTATACATATATAGGACCACTGGCATTGGGACGTTTTTGCAACGCACCGGACGGCCTCGCTCTAATGCAAAAAAAATATAATTATTTGTTTTTAGGTAATTAAAGATAAGTATATTACTGTGATTGATTTTTTTGGTTTGAGGTTTTAGTTTATGAACATTAACCTTTATATTATATATTATATTTGTTGTCTATTTATTGCTATCATATTAATAAAAATATATATCTGTAAATTTTCTCATTTACTAAACTGCATTCCAAAACATAAAACATGTTTATTCCCATTAAATATGTATTAAACTCAGGTGAACAATTTTTTATTTTCGATTATATGTTTTACTTATACTTGTTTTCTTGATGGTGAGGAAAGGTTCTCGAGTGGCGGCAGCCTCCTACTGGAAAGTAACACGTACAGAAAAAAAAACAGAAACATGCAAGTAGTTGATGGATGCAGGTGGCCCAAGGCCATACACTGTGCTGATCTGTGGGGTAACCTTCAGATTCAGCAACGGACTTGTGATAATGATTTTACTTATTAAATATAATAATCTATTAAAAATCTATAAAGAACATTTTACTATCAATTTAAACAAATTTGTCTAATTTGTCTATTTTATTAAATTAAATATCTTTGTTTATTATTTTTTTAATTAGTGTTCAATTTACATCCCTCCATTACTTTAAAGCTTTAAACCATTATTACTACATATTATAAGAATAATAATATATGTTATGTTAGTTATTTATTATACAGGATTATTTTGCAAAATACGGCCAAATTTGAGAGCCATACTGCAGCTATATTAGTAGTATAGTTGTAGCACGAATGGGTCGGCTCGACCGGGGAAGGACCACGCTCTCACAGAATACCAGCGTAAAATAGCAGCTTATCACTGTTGTGTTTCGTATGGTGAGTGTAGAGAACCGGAGACACTTTTTACTGGAAAAGAGTAATTCCATCTTAGTCCTCACGGGTGACAACGCATCTGCATTTTGATTCGCAAACGAGGATAGACGTAGATGTCTATGGACTACAGCAACCACTAACCATCGGGTGGACTGTGTGCTCTTTTGTCACCCTATCCAATAAAATGGCAGAAAAACCACAATAAATCTGAAAGGGTTTTCAACTAGTTACTTGTTCTTTAAATCATGGCATATTTACGCATTCATCTTAGTCTACTTGAGTCCTTTCAAATGAGTCCAAACACGATGGTGTTTTGTAGTCACATAACAGATCTTTTACCCCACCTTCTAAGTCCACCATCATGAACGCAATATCATTACAGTGACTCGGTCTTTATGAGCCCTTTCAAATGAGTTCACGTTATTTCAAATATTTGTGACGTATGATACAGAAATGAGGAGAGTAATTAATAACTATCTGCGTTTGTATATAACAGACTAAAATAAATCTTATGACATAAATTGGAAAACCTATTTCGTTGTCACCGCTGAGGACTAAGATGGAATGACTCGTTTCCAGTAGAAAAGGAATCTGGTTATCTACACTCACCATACAAAACACATCAGTATTAAGCTGCTATTTTACGATGCTGTTCTGTGAGAGCGTGGTCCTTCCTCAGTGTAGCAGACCCATTGGTGCTGGTTCTTCCCAGGACATAGGTTTTTTTGCAAACCAGAGATAAAAGTAAACAATGACTTTCCATAAGTGCGATGTACTGTAACCTCTAATAAAAATGATTCATATTATATAAATCTTGTACACTAATATTTACACCTAATACACCTAATATTTTATAATAGGTATTTATAAATTGTACGAGTCTTACAGATTTAAAGTGAATCCCAAAAAAAGAAAACTCAATTGTAACAACAACTTCAAATTTCACACAATTGACTGATTAAACTTTGTCATAAGGTTGTTAAAATGTTTCTGGTCACCTACCAAAATTACGCTAAAACTAACTTTTTTTCCTAACTATGTGGGTGTATGTTATACTGACATTTCTATAGAGCGATGAGGGCTAATAATGTTAGGCCCGCTTTTCACTACGGGATATAATATAATATATATTACATCTCGAGATATAAATTAATATCGCTCACCATACATTTTATATGGAACCGTTTACACTGAGCTATGATATATATTACATCTCAAGCTATAAATATTTTTTCGATCGACCGAGCGATATTTTCATATTATATTTTGCCCCCTGTACCCCGCACACCGTTCCGCGCCCCCGTAGAACGGTGTACGGGGTAAAGGGGGGTAATCCAATGACCAATGACGAACGCACACTGGTTAAAAGATATATCTCACAGTGTGAAAGCCAATCGCGGGATATAATATATATTATATCCCATAGTGAAAAGCCAGCCTTACGCTCACCAGACTGATATCGCTTGTTGAGACTAAGGTGAACTTATTTGTGGGGCAGTAGTCATCATTAAAAAGTTTAATTTTAAATAAAAGTTTTTTGGTTCCTATTGTATGTACAAAACAATGCCTGTGCTGTATTCTTTAAATGTTTACGTTTAACTTTTTTATTTCTTCTACTTTTAGGAATATCCATAGTTTGGTTTATACAATTCTGCTTTAATCTATACATATAATAAAACTGTAAATAGCAGATGTCTGTACATTTTTTATTTTTGTAATAAAAGTGATTGAGGGGTACTAAAAATAAGTAATTAAATACATTTCCACCATTTTTAGAATTTTCTGTCTGTCTGTCTGTCTGTCTGTCTGTTTGTTTGTTAACGTATCACGTATAAAGTACTAATTTATATCATAAGAATTGTTAAGGAAATTATAAAGTGTATCTTCGGGTTACATTTAGTCTTTATTTCATTAAAATCAGTTCATTCCATCAAAAGTTATGATAAATATTTTGAAGTATGGGTAGGGAAGTATAGGTACGAATTTGCTCAACGGTGGCTTTGTTTGAGTCATCAAGTGCATTTTAAACTAATATCATATCATAAATCATAGTTAAATTATGTAAAATAATGATATAATTATGTATATCTAAAACGCAGTAAACAAAAGTAATAAAGAACGTATTAAATATATTATACAAAAATATATTAACCTCATTAACTAAATCTGAAGCACAATAGTTAACCCATTTCTTCGATAGATGGTGGTGTTGTGAAAATGTATTTTTTATTTAATCTTTGTTTTATTAAAATTGGTTCATTCTATCCAAAGTAATGATTATTATTTTGAAATGTAGGTTCGAATTTGTTCAATGGCGCCATAAAATCTCAGAAATAGTAATAAAAAGATTTCTGTGTAAAAAAAAACGTTCCATAATAATTAATATATTTATACTTAAAACACAAAAAGAGATAGGATGTTTTCTCACACAAAGGACGTAATAGATGGAGTTGTACAAATTACAAACCTTTCTGAATTGCTGTGTTGAGATTTTTCGCCGATGAATCGTATTAGACTTACTGAAGAAATTTGTATCCATCGAAGCCATACAACGGAACCCGACCAAAAATAAAAATTTTGCAACGAAATGTCGTGATATTGTATTTATAATATACGCAAAATCAGTACTGCCATTTTAGCGCTTTGGGAACTAGATTTAGCGCTTTTTTGGAATTGGCATTTCGAAATTATAGCACCTAGCTTAATCCAGCGCTTTATGGTGTATTTAGCACACATTTCAATATTTTAGCGACTAGCGGGTTATTAACTCTTTTATAGCAGCACTGTTAGTCCACATTACCGATAATAATAATAATGACCTTTATTATTTTTTCCCACAAATAGTACATTGCAGTTTATCTTTTTCAAACATATTTTTTTAATTAATATATTTATACTTAAAACACAAAAAGAGATAGGATGTTTTCTCACACAAAGGACGTAATAGATGGAGTTGTACATATTACAAACTTTTCTGAATTGCTGTGTTGAGATTTTTCGCCGATGAATCGTATTAGACTTACTGAAGAAATTTGTATCCATCGAAGCCATACAACGGAACCCGACCAAAAATAAAAATTTTGCAACGAAATGTCGTGATATTGTATTTATAATATACGCAAAATCAGAACTGCCATTTTAGCGCTTTGGGAACTAGATTTAGCACTTTTTTGGAATGTATAGCGCGCATTTCGAAATTTTAGCACCTAGCGCTTAATCCAGCGCTTTTTGGTGTATTTAGCACACATTTCAATATTTTAGCGACTAGCGGGTTATTAACTCTTTTATAGCAACACTGTTAGTCCACATTACCGATAATAATAATAATGACCTTTATTATTTTTTCCCTCAAATAGTACATTGCAGTTTATCTTTTTCAAACATATTTTTTCCACAAAACTAAGAGCATGGGAGACGAGTCCAAACTAGGATACCCTGTGCTATGGATCTCCTGGCTTCCCCTTTAGGATGATCAACTTGATTTTTTTACCGACGACTATAAGCGGGGAAATCCCCTTTATTAAAGTTTTCGTTCATGTTTTGGCAACGCATTTATTTTGCTTTATTCAGTTTTAGTCAGTTGCTTAGAGCACAGCTAAGTTAAAAGTTACTTAGAAGTTATAACACAAAGAAACTGTGTAGCAACCGCAATCAGATGCTGACATCTGAAACTAAGTTGCGAAATACATTGCACTTTAAAACAATTAATGACATTTTTATTGTTCGTACAGTAGTTACAGTAGTTAGCTGTTGACAGCAATTGCTATAATTATAAGTCGATGTCCTGCGAAGTATTGATACATCAAAAAAATATTGCCAGAAAAAAAACTTAATGTTGTTTTCTTTATTATGATTATATAAACACAAACTTTGTTTGTAGTTAATTTAGCGCGAAATCTAGGGCTTTTTTAAAGCGCTGTTTTCATGAAATCTAGCGCTTTTTGTGTTGTCCTAGATCTGAATGAGTTTTTTTTTATCTGGCAGCACTGCCCAAAAACCCTCTATTAAGAAGTAACTTTCCTTTCAGTTTTAAGCGCGTTCAGTTCCCAGTTACAGTGAGTGTGTGTTATGCGATGACCGTAAATAAAGCGCAAGGTCAAACTTTACGCGTTGTAGGAATGTACCTCAGTACTGACTGTTTTGCACATGGCCAACTCTATGTTGCTTTTTCCCGCGTTAGTAGCCCCCGTAACCTTTTTGTGTATACCCCGGCTAAGCCTACTTCTAACGTCGTTTACACAGAAGCTATATCATAAACGACTTAGAAATTTGATGATAATGATTTATTTTGTTACCACTTATTGATGAGTAATGAAATAAATCGTTTAATATTCTCTTACCTAAACAACAAATTCTTTATGTAAAACCTGTATACGCGAGCTACGCCGCGGGCACAGCTAGTCTATAATATAAAAATGAATCGCTGAATGTGTTGCTAAGCGCAAATCTCGAGAGCAGCTGAATTTATTTCGCTAATTCTTTTTTTATAATATTCTTTGAAGTACGAAGATGGTTCTTACAGAGAGAAAATTTAAAAAAAAATAGCCTGAAAAAGTCTAAAAATAACACTTTTCCATATTCCCATACAAAAGATTCGTAATAATACTTAAAAGTCAATTTGAACTTTAATACCATACCATAAAGTTTAAGTGTTAGTGGAGGGGTTCTGGGAAGGCAAAACAATTTAGTGACGTTAGTATCGTATAAATATTATATCGTATGGTATCGTATCATCTTT